CGCACGCCAGTGAACTGTAATAAATTTTTTCTTTTGTCCTTTTAATATCGAAATGATTGAAAATTACTTTATAAAACACAGCAAAAGAAAAAACCAAGAGGAAAATGATCAACCGCTTGAAGGACAAGCAAGGAAAATTACTAAAAAGGACCCTCTCCCCTCCCTATTAAAGGAACCTCCCTTGGACCTCACTGGAGACAAACCCCCCACCCAACATGACATTTTCACTGTACTGAAAAACTTGCCTGAACTAAAATGGCGAAAGATTACTGCAGAGAATTTGAACCTTGAGTATGCTATAATGTTTACAAAAGACGAAGCGTATAAGATTTTCAATTATTTGGAAAACGAGATTGTTTACGAACATAACAGTAAAGTGCAGGTTTTTGGAAAATGGCATAATGTACCAAGAAAGCAAGCCTCGTATGGGAACGATGGTTTAAAATATTCATTCTCAGGAAGGACCATCTCGGCTACGCCATGGACTCCATTTCTTAGAGAACTTCGAGATATGTTAGCAGCCAAAGTTGGAACTAATTTTAATTTTGTGCTTATCAATCGTTACAAAGACGGTAACGACCACATAGGTGAACACAAAGATGACGAACATGAACTCGTTAGTAGAAGTCCAATTGCCTCACTTTCATTTGGTGAAGCAAGGGACTTTGTTTTTCGACATCAAGATTCCAGAGGGGCGAAGGCTGTAAGAAAAATTGAGCCAGTGAAATTAAACCTACAAGCAGGCAGTATTTTATTAATGAATTATCCAACCAATTCTTATTGGTATCATTCTCTTCCTGTACGAAAGAAGTGTCTTGGGCCACGGATTAACTTAACCTTTAGACAAATGCATTGTTAATTAAGACTCTTAATTCACTCTATAGAGTCTAACAACTGTTAATTCTTTAGAAATTGGGACAAATGAACTATTGTGAAGCAGTGATGTATTATAAAATATAGTGATATTATTATACTTGGTTTAAACATTGTGCTTTTGTCTCTTATTTCAATATATATTTTGTGATAGATTTTGCTGTGAACTCCTATATACCCTAATAATTTCTTTGCAAATCAGGGGGGGGGGCTGTCTAGACCTAGAATTGGCTAGCTGGTTTGGTTAATTTTTTGTTAGCATTTGGTAAGTATTATGGCTGTGACAGGGGGGGGGGACTCACTCTCCAGAGAATTAGCCGGGGGGACTCTCCTGAGACCACGAATGAGCCCGTGAGCCAGCTGTTCACTCAGCGGTATACATGTTGTATGGAACCGTGTATGGTTTAGCGCAATAAAACATGGCTGCAAAATGGCTAAAGTTTGTACGAAAAAGTTGCGAGAAATTGCTCTACAACTTGTGAAAGAAATTGCTAACGAAAGAAAAGATAGTCAGGAAGGTAAGCTACACATGTTTTTGATTACTTCAGAAAGATATTACTCAGAATTACAGTGCTACTGGATTCCATATTTACTGTTTAAAAAATTAGCTTTGACAAATGACACTCTTGTGACTGACTTTATCGCTTTTATATCAAGCCAAATTACCTATAATATTTCCTGTATTTTAGATGCAGTTGTACCAAGTGATGAATTGTTCTCAGCGTAAGTAAATAATATAGATGTTAGACTAAAATTACATCATTAGTTTGATAATTGATAATCAAACTATTATGCAATTTCAGTCTGTTATTTTATGATTTTGATCATTCAGTGGCTTAGGATGGAAAATTGCATATGCTAAACCAATCTTTCGTTCAATCAATCAAACTACCTGAAAAATACAAGTGAAATTCGATGTTTTGAGCGAAAGGTTATTATTGGAACTACTGACCTACAATGGCATGGGGCCATGCTAAAGCGAACATGTAACCTAATTACCCCGAGGTAACCCCGTGTTTTTAATTATTGTAGGTTACATGTTGTCTTTCCACAAACATTGCAACAAGCTGTAGACTTAGTTGATCGAGATTGTGTTACCAAGGTCATCTCGGCAAGTGGGAGAGAGTTGTTCCAGGTGATTAGCAATTCAACAGAAGTACCATTATAATCTGCATTAGTTTACCATTCATTGTCATCATCACCAGAACCATTGTCACCATCATTATCACTAGTCCATCACCATAATTTATCACATAATTGTCACCACCACCAGCATCTTCACCCTCACCACCATAAAACAATCACCACCAATGCCTGAATATCATCACTGTCATCACCCATCAATCAATCATCTAATACATGTGTAAATATTCTTTATCAAGGTAAAAGGCTCATCAGGAAAAATTTATAACTGTCTCATGTCATCAGAATATTGTACATGTCCTTCGTATACCTACTATGGTAAATATCCACCACTCTTTTGCATTCAGACCAGTTGCCTTGAAATTGCAAAAACACTACCCATACAAGAATTTTTTCTGTGTTGGTGTAATATATCCACACCGGGCAAGCTTGAAAAATATGCCTGGCCACGGTGCGAATCGAACCTACGACCTTTGGAATACTAGCCCATGCAATGCTCTGCCAACTGAGCTACGCAGTCAGGTCGGTTTGAGATATTTCGGAACTGAGTCTAGTTGGTAACTCTTACATAGCAACAGGTCATGCTATGTAAATTTTTAATAATTTGCATTATTCAAAATTTTAGAAATGTATCGTCTAAAGACCAGGTCTATTAGCATAGCATGACCAGTAGCCATGGCTAGTTTTTGCCACTGAATTTTTGTCAAAGCAATATTTTTCACTTTTGTCTACTGTAGTTTTGATGAAAGAAGAGGTACTAATGGTAAGCCTTGTATTAAGCTTTATAAACATTGCAGTCATTAAGAATCCTGCTTGTATTATTCATAGTACTGTACTTTAAGGCCATCCATTCAATAATTTGCTGTCATAATCCAGTTTAAACCAAAGAGAAACTAATTATGAATTTTGACTCTTTCGTAGTGCAAACATGTTCTGGCGGTTTACATTTCTCAGAATCTTGAAACTTTGAATGAAAGAAATATCAGTGATGAAGATTTTGCAAAGATTTTGACTGAAGTGAATGATTGATGTTTTCACATATAAACCCAAATTCAGATTTCTTGGTATGTATCTGATCTTTATTAAAATCCCAGCTAACAAATGTTCAGGTTTTCTCCGAGATCTTTTATACATTCTAGCACAGTAGTATTACACAATACAATCTGTATATAATTACTATAGTGTCCACCACCGGAGACATATATTTTCATTGTGTCATGAGGTTAAGCTTTGTAGTTGCAGGTTTTTCCCTTCAGTGTAATTACAGTGTAGCTGTATATCTGACTATGAACCAATGTTCAACATCGTAACTCTGTTCATGACTATCTTTCGTTCTCTTCATCATCTATGCTGTTTGTGACCATATCTCTCGCAACTTGAAAAGCTGCAAGGAGCGAGCCAAGCTGTATTTTCTCCGAAGTTCCTGATGCCAGTCGATGTCTTAAAAAAAAACAAATAAAAATATAACAACAAATTGACAAAACAAGTTGGAGGGAAACAACTGTCTCGCAGGTTTCTATGGTGCAATTCATCACGAGCTCTGAGGAAGAGATTTTATTTCCTGCTCACTTTATGCTCTTTCATTTATCTCGTAGTCATATAATGAATACTCAACATTACATCATTTACTTACTCAATATTTGCCATTTTGTCCAATAAATGCATTCTAACTGTTGCAGGAAAGTCCACTAAATTTAAGAAAAAGGTTTCCACAATTATTCAACTGTAGGTTGGGATATTTTACAGATTATGGGCCGTACAACAATACTCACCCCGATGTACATAAATATGAACTTCTGCAAGTATATCATCTAAAGCCAAACCTTTCATTGTTTTTAATTCCATTATATCTTTGATGCACTAGTTAAACAAAATTTCACAGAACTTTCTGTTCTGTAATGTGACAGAACTTTTACAGTTTAGCAAATTCTTACCCTAAATTAATCCATATTACTAATCTTATTCTACATCACAACTCTGGTATCATTGTGCACCAACAGAACCAAGTTATTGTTTTGGTAAATATAATATTGAAATTAACTTTAAAAAGGATACTTTGATAAGCAGCTTTATAATCTTCGTTCAACATCCAGTTGACGATATTCTCAATATCATTTCTTTGTGGCTTTCCTGTGCACGTATAAATATTTTCTTCATTCACTACATCAAATGCCAGTGAGGTACTCTGAAAAAAGAAATATTACACATACGGTACTAAATATCTCTTGTGTGGTGAACAAATGAGCGTATTTTGGTATCGGAAGGTTTTAATAAATGTTGATTTATCTTACCTGTAAAATATTTAAGGCTTTTCTCATATCTCCACCTGACAACCTTATCAAACTCTTCTTTCCATCAGCATCTATAGTTATTCTACAACAAATATTTGGTATTTACTGTATGCCATTCCAGTTGGTGTGTAAAATGCATTAGTGCACATGTTGAAGGATTTTGTTGATGGAAATTTCCAGTGTAAATTGTATACATTTATTATACCTAACCAGAGAAATTATGTAACTTACTATAGGCCCTCTGCCAGGAATTACACATACCTTTCATTTTCAATGACATAATCAAGTCTTGAGCTCATTTGTTCAGAGTCTAGTGGACCAAATCTAAACCTCGTACAACGCGACTGTAGTGCTGGAATGATTTTGCTTAGGTAATTACAAATGAGACAAAATCTTGTGTTCTCCGTGAATTTTTCCATTACTGGGGAGAAAAATTTTAAAAATTAATTCCATAGAAAAATACCTTATTCTGCAAAAGTAGGACATAATTTAAAATGTCTGGTTAACCCATTAAGCTGCTACTGTATGTGCCCAAATGCACCATACTTTATTATTTTACTCTGTCTAACACCAGATGATTTCACCTGTCACGGAGATTGGGTTTACCCGTCTAATGGGTTAAATACCTCTTCGTAATGCGTTTTGAGCATCTCCAGTCATTTCATCTGCTTCGTCCAAAATCACCATTTTGAATCCTGACCTATAGAAAAAGTTATTTCAATCCATTTATATAAATAGGCCATGAGCTGACTGACAAGCTGGATTGTTGAGTCGCTTACTTGAAAATTGTTCTTGTGCTTGCAAAACTCAGAACTGCTCCTCGTACAATCCCTATTCCTCGATCATCCGAGGCATTTAACTGAAGAAAAATTACCAAAGATTAATTCTTTACTCTTGCAATATTTTTTTATTCCTAATTGGTTAATTCTTTACTGGTCAATATTGTATTGATATACAGTCTAGCCCAGTAGTATATATTTATTTGGTTAATTCTGAGATAATATTCACCTCAAGAACCATGGATCCAAATTCTTTCTTAGTGTAAAGTTGTTTGGCAATAGCAAGAATGGTTGACGTCTTCCCAGTACCGGGAGGCCCGTAGAAAAGCAAGTGCGGTAATCTATCTTCGTCGATAAACTTTCGAACTGAAACAAAGTTAACTTGGTCATCCAAAATATTGAATATATGAATGTGTTAGAAACTGTGTGTTTTATAAGAGGCAGATATCAGAGTTGGACCGGATCGCCAGTCAGACAAGATCCAACCCAGTTTTTAAAATGCCGTGGTTACTCATCCCACACTGGAACTTCAAGTTCTATGGCTATAGATCCGACATAATATTATGCATGCCTACATACAATACTCACATTTTTATGGACAATAAATTTTTTATGAACCTGTTCCGCATTCTAACCCTAACCGGTTCTTATCCAAACTGTTCTGGCCACTTGTTTGCAGGTAGAAGAACTCTTACACATTTGAAATTCCACTCCCAGATTTGATCCGTGCAATAGCGCATGCCAGGCAAGTGCCTTAACCATTTGACTACCGAGGATTTGCTTGAGATCAACTGAAATCTATTTGGTGTCACTTTAGCATGTTTACAGAACAATGAGACGGATCTGTAGCCATGTAACTTAAAGTTCCGGTGTTGGAACAACCACGGCATTTTTGAAAATTATGTTATTAAGTTCTAAAGTTCTTACTTGTTTTTATAATATCTTTGTGTGATATCAACTCATCTAGATTGTTAGGACGATATTTTTCAACCCTGGATAAGAAAAATCACTCATAATTAACTCGTACAAGGGCTCCTATTCTCCAATAATTGCCAAATACAACAAGTACCCACCAAGGCAAATTCGATGACTCCTTCTTGTCAGCCATATTGGAAAAATTTTCCCGCCTTTTCCCGCAATAAAAAATATTAAGTACGTCATGTTACAGCGATATAATGGATTTAGTTCCAGTCCCAAGGATAGGTTTGCTCCGGTCACTGAGCTCTGGTACAGGGTGCAATATATATATTGCTACACATTTGGCGTTAATTAACCACTTGAAACCTTGTGGTGGCCTCTTGTCAAATCTAAAATTAGTAAGTTACCCACGCGCCGATGATTGAAAACAATATTTAGGTTCTTCGTTCCTTGTCAATTTAATGCAATGTCCTTATTTGTTCACACTTAGAAGTTAGAACACTTCAAAATTAAGACTTAGAAAATAGCTAATTGATCTGCCAAATCAAGGTGGACCATACTTGAAGAATGGTAGCCTTAGAAATGGTAAACATTTTCATTGTTTCGACTAGATCAGGATTCAGCAGTGATAAAATTACTACTACATATGATAGCCTCGTAATGATCGACATAGGTATATATACAATTGAAGAAACATGAGAAATACTATAAGAATAAGGCAGAAAAATAATATGGCAGACGAATTTCTACAGATTGATTCAAATTCTACAAATTGTTTAATTTTTTAGTTCGTCGTTCGAAGTAGAACTGTTCAGCAGAGAATAAATTAATAATATTATTTTTATGTTAGACAAAACGAAGTAAACCCATATAGGTGTGTAAATACAATGGAATCAAATTTTATGCATCAACTTTGAGTTTGCGTATAATTTATACCAATGAAAACTCGTTCTGTGGTGAGCTGATAATATGACTAATCAGTTGTAATTTTATCATTTTTTAAGTTATTCTCTTAGAATTGAAGAAGCTGCTTTAAATTCACTTACAAAGATATTTTAATTTCTTAATAAGTCAATATCAGTAATATACTGTATGTACCCTGTCAATATTTCACGCATCATTGCATTCAGCTTAGTGCCAAGGCATTCAAATTCTCACAATACGTTATTTCAATAGTTTCGAGGTTTTGTTGGGAGCACCCTGTAGTTCATGATATTTTAATTTCCATCACATAGCATATTGAAATGCGTGAAAATAATTGACATTCATCTTCATTTCTTTCAATAACCGAGTGAAACCATTTTGGCTGTGCAAAAATATAGAAATTTCAGGCCATAATTTATTTCACTTTCCAAAAAGAAAATAATTTGTCAGGCCATATTTTTTATTCGAGCCCGGCGTAGAATATCGCGCGCGAGGAATGTCGCAAAATGTTTATGCTCTTGTCCCACCCTGACTGGCCCTGTATAATGGACCTTTCCCAGTTATAATTAAAATTTTGATCTAGACAAAAACTCCATCACAGCTTGAAAGAGCATCACAAAATTAGTAATATTCCCAAGTTTCGTTGCGAAATGTTGTAAAATGCGGATAATATAGCCTTGCGAAATTTGCCGTTTTTCAGTCATTTTGTATTACGCACGGGAAATTGACAGCCCAATCGGGTGTTGGGGCATCAATTTCCCGTTTGTAATACAAAATGA